CACACCATTCGAAAATACACATTTCCACCCTCCAGCGCTGACGCTGCTGCGGCCGAACTCGTGAACCTATATGTCCAAAAGGGGCATAACTACCACGCCTGCCACCGGTTTTTGAAAAAAAGCGCCGAATGCGGCGACCTGTGTGTGTCCAACCCTGGACAAAGGGTCTTCCACCACCACTCTTTCCACTTTACATGGGCAGGGGGGCCAGGCCTGTCACATCCAACCTGGCCCAACGAAGCTGGGATGTGGCAGGGGAAGCACCAAAGGACGCTTTGGTGTGTACCTGCAACAACTTTTGAAAAAGCTGTCCAATCCGCCTTGTTTGATTCATGGTGGTTACATGTTTCCTCCCATAAACCTTTTCCCCGCAGCTGAGCTCGTCGTCGCATCACCTGTGCAGATCGTTTTTGAGACCACTTGCAAACAATGTTCAACAATACATTTGCGCCGACTTTTCCACATTGCGGTTCTTCGCCATCCTTCCCATCGGAGAAATTGAGCTAACTGAATACAAACTGTCGAAGTGTGTCAACGCCTGTTTCCAAGGAAGATGCACAGACGAATTAACAAGTAAGGAGTTCCTGCACGATAAACGCAGGGGGGCAGTGATCCTTTCAACAGCCACTGCCTAACAAAGACGCTGTTGATCGGATGTGATATTCAGAGAGGACGCTCTCTGAACGTACCTGCACCAATTTTTTGAACCACCTTAAAGTGCTAATGAGCTTCCTTCGTTTCACCCATGTTCAACATTTCTGGTGCACCGACCCAGCATTCTTTCGGTTCTTGCGAGTCAAGGTCTAGTTCCTGCAGCCGGTAATGTAATCACTAGAGTGGATTGCCTTAACTGATTTAGCTCTTGCGAGCATCAATCTAAGTGTGTGTGTGTGTGGGTCACGCTTAAGCATGTTACCCCGTATGTTACCGCTGCCATGGCCCGACGCGGCCTGTGAACAAAAGAATCGCAATTCCGGAGCTCGCTACGTGGTCCGATTAAATGTACACCGTTCAAAAGAGACCCAACTTTGGTCGACTAAAGAGATCTAAAGAATCCGTTTTTCCGTTGCGTGCTAGCATCAAGCTTTGCAACGCACTGCTTGGAAAAAATAAGTTGCATATCATGAGCACTGTCCCTTCCCTCACCCCGCGGCACTCACGGTACGGTATGCACCTACGTCCAAATCTATACATATATATATTAAATTTCTATATTGTATGTATACATTTGCGCGTGCCACTATCTTTCTATTGCACGATATGCGAAGCACACTCTAGCTAAGACCTCACCCGATGCGTTCTTTCTGACGGGATGTGAAGGTGCTTGGTCAGCCGTGTCGGTAACGGACGATGGACCGATGAATGAAATTCCTCTGAGTCCCAAACATTAAATTCAAATCTTGAGATGCGACTCTAGAAGCTGCAGTAGAAGGAGATGATCAAATGTTTGCGAGTCGGCTTCAACTTGCAGATTTTTGGATATCCACCAAACATTCACGACCTGGACACCTATGTTTCCAAGATTTTCCGGGGAGTTTTGATTTCAGATGCCAAAAAATATACGAAAGATGTCACAAACTAGGTTGACAATAACAGGGGCAGAGAAAAGAAACGATTTGCAGAGTCTATGTCTCAACGAATCCATGTACAACGCCATGGCACACACCTACGCTGGGTGTCCACGGCTTTTTTCCGGGTTTTTTCGAGTGAACCTCCACGTCAGTTGATTCTTTCTAGGAACCCACGTCGTTGGCATTCGTTGGCTGTTTGATGCTGTTTGTGATGATGGTTCGACCCGCATCGGGACCGGCGGGGGACCGAACCGCATCGGGTGGAGGGAGACTTCGGTCGCCGACACGTCGTGTGTCTCTCTCGGTCTGAGCGAAAAGGACGGTCCAAGAGGGAGATGGCTTAAGGACGTACAAGCCGAAACGATGGCATTGCCACTGCGGCGAAACGAGTGCTGGACGTGCGTGCTCGGTGAAGCTTTCAGAGGTTCGCGAAGATGCGGGGTAAAGGCATTGGTTGGAAAAGCACATGACCCTGCGGCAAAATGAGTGGACGACCTACTGGTCAGGGAACTCAGTAAGTAAAGTGACAACAAAAAGCATCTTAAGGACTCAAATCCCAGGCCATCTACAACCCCATAAGGCGACGGGAGCAGCTGTTCAGCACGGGTGATTGAACACAAATGAAGTGCGGTGACTGAGTTTGTGACCAAGCGTTCGACCGCACATCTTCCAAAAACATGCAGTTCCACCACTTATAAAACCACAGTTTTACCTCAATTCTTGAGCGGTTTGACCGCATACTTTACCAGAGGTTTTGCACGTGGTATTTTGCTCGGTTTTCTTCCGAAAAGTAAAAGAACACATATATACTATATACAATGTATTTATCAATTGATCCCCTGTGCTTTGGCTCTGTGCATGTGACCCCGGACCGTCGGAACCACACCCTGAAGCTCGCTCGCCCTGAGGATTGGAGTCCCAGCACCCTGCTCTCCTTTAGAAAATTCTTCCGCACCGGCGACCATCGCAGGAGGTCCAAGAACTTCTGCAGCAGGCCCCCGCGGAATGCAAGCAGCGCCAGCACGGCGAGCGAAGCCCACCTTGCACCGAGACAGGTTGCTTGAGATGTTTTAGATGTTCCCTGTCGCGTCTACTCACCAAATGTTGCATGACATTCTGGAAACTCAAACATAGATTCGACGGGCATGTGCTGTTGAGTCTCAGAGGGTGGTTGATCAACCACCCTGGACAGACCCCGGTACAAAGGAGCACTCTTGATCTATCTACAGGTGATCTAAAGGTGATCTAAAGGTGATCTAAATGTACTTGTAACTACTCTAAACTCAATCTAAACAACTCTTTACTACTCTTAACTACTCTTAACTGTTCTTAACTACTCTTAACCTCTCTTAACTGCTCTTGACTACTCTTGACCACTCAAAACTATGGTCTACTCACTGGTATGCCACACAAATCACGTTTCGTGTGGCTCTTTGAGTGAATGATGGCTCAAAGTGAGAATTGGAAGAGCAAGTCTGTGGTGGTCTGTGCAGGCCACAGGCTTGTAGTGTTTCCCCGAAATGGGGATGATTGGCAGAGCCAATGGTCAGTGGTGGAGCTGTGGCATGCCACGAAGTCAGATGAACCTTTGTGCCTGAGCGCTCAATCCAAAGAAAGGCAAAGGCTCCGCATCTCTACTGCATTAGAAACATATTGGCATTGACTGAGAATTTTCAAGATTGAAAACTTGGAAAATGTTGTTCGATCTAGACTTATGACCCGGCCCCAGGCAAGCGCTTCAATGACCGTCAAGAATCCATTCTGGCCTACCATAGGTTGATTTGGGGTGATCAACCATTGAAGCTTCTGGACTCGACAAGGAGCAAATCAGCAAAAGCGGAAACTTGGGCTGATTAAAAAAAACAGCTAGGCAACCTCCCATTGTTTGCCACAAACAGTTGCAACATGGATGGAGGCAATTCCAGTATCAGGGAAACATGATCCTGCTAAGGACATTGAGCACATGTTTGTGGAAAAGACCATTCCAACATCACTGCTCCTGGCAATGGTTGGATGGGTCTTGCAGAATGGGAAATCAGTGGTGGGATCTCGCCAGTGTTGCTTCAAGCTTTTGAATGGGCTCATTCAACTGTGCATCAAACACGGTGGTTTTAGCGTGAAGTTTGAACTTGGTAGTTCAGGACCAATGTGGGTAAACATGAATCAGGGGTCATTGAATTTTAAACACTGGACCACTGGACTCGTACTCCCTGAGCCCCTTCACTCACTGCGCTGGTACAACACTGGTAACCTTTTTCACTGCGCTGATATCTCTTCTGCTGCAGGATCATTGCTGGACATGCCACTGGAGCCTGACAATCAGACGTTTCCGCTGCGCTGCATTCTCAAAGATTCAGCTCAGCAGCTTTTAAACATGTGGCATGCAGAGCAGTTTGTTTCTTGGATGAAATGGAAAATCATTGCACAGTCTCAGTCTCGGGTTTCTAGGTCATTATCAGGCTGTCAGTCAAGTAAAGCTGTAACTTTGCAGTCAGTCAGTCAGTCAGTCAGTCTGACAAACATCTGATCCAGATGTAACAGTCATCCCTGAAATATTCATTTAATTACTGATCCATGCAACAGTCATCAGTTGCCAGCAACGTCCCAAGGATGTGGCCTCGCCTTGGGTGACGGATTCGCCTACCACATCAAGCTTGGCCTCAGTGATTGCATTTTGCCTGGATCCGACGCTTGATTCAATCCTATAGTCATTCAAATAATTTAGGCAAATCATCAGGTGTCCTGAGTCCTTTTTTTCATCTGTCATTGATCCATGCCAAATAGCTGAACCCACTACCCAAGGGACCCACCCACTGCTGAAGCTGAAGCGTTCCTGTCCAGTTGTTGTTCATGCAGCCAGGAGACACCCTCGCCACACCAATGTCTGGATCCGACTGCGCAGCATCGCAAACTCCTTTCTTGCTCAGATTGCAGCATTTTTGGATTCTTGGCACTATAGATTGTCATACTGGTCAGACTGTGTCACTGTCTCACTTCAGTGTGATCACTGACGTTGATATTACTAACATTACTGACTGATTCTGGCGAGTGTAATTGATCAGTCAACATTTAATTAAGGATAGCCATGTCCATGCTATGTGCCTATTTGATTCTGGCGTGAAGAGACAACCCCGAAGCAAGATCTCACCTGCTGATCGGTATTTGATCCTGCGGTCAGTTCATGAGGGCAGGCACTGGATGACTTACACAAACTACTGTCAAGCGCATCAATCAGACTTCTGATGATTCCTTCATTGCTATAATATTATACTATATTAACCTGAGTCTGGCATCAATCAATTAAATTATTGCAGCAAAGCAGAATTCTTCAAACATAATACACACTGGAAACCCTTGATTGGAGGCACTTTACCATCTCTAAAGCCCTCATTGCCTTCAACGCCAAAGTGGGGATCTCAAGACTTTGTCAATGGACTATGGCTACCTGGCTTCATTGGCACCGTCTCATGCAGGCAACTAAGCAACTAACAGTTCATTCTGAATTTGGATATTGCATTGTGAAGTCACATTTTCAAGCAACTGCCCACGTGCTGTGGAGTCTAATTCTGTTCATTAAGGAGGCCTATTTGCGGAAGCTCCACATGACATTCAAGGAGTCATTGCAGCTTCAGGCAGGAGGACAATGCTGGATCCCAGATTCAACTATGAAATCAACAAGTTGAGAAATGAGAAATTGTTGATGTTGACTCATTTAGTATTGCCATGAATGGAGGTGTCCTTTGATGGCTCGGCAGTGCAGAAGGTTCCGGTGGAGCTCTACAAAGTGCATTGCACCCTGGATGCAGTCTTTGGTATGCATGAATCAAATCTGTCACATTGGCATTGAATTGAGCCCTAGCGTAGTAACAGCCAATCAATGCAATCAGCAAATTACAACTAGTAGTTTTGTCAATTGACGACTGACGGCAAGGCCACAGGGGAGATCTTTCAGCTTACCCACCTCCACTGGCACCTGGTCATAATTTTATTTGTCAGGACGACTATCGAATCGACGCGAGTTGAGACTGACTGACTGGGACAGGACCATGACATCATCCCGGACTCTTCATCAAGACTCGTCGTTGAATCGAGTCATCACTGGGTGGTCAGTCAGTTGACAGTGATTGATTGAATAGTTGTATAGGGTAGTTGAGGATTTGTCAATTGCCAAATTCAATCCAATTTCTATCTGATAGCCTTTCTCATTTCAAGATGATGGGTGATGTTGCTGCAGCCACCGCGTATGGTGGTGGCGACAGCTGCGCGGACAGCTCAGAGCTGATGATGGAAACATCATCAGATGCATCCTTCCCGATGACACAAAGCACAGCTTTTGGTGAGGCCAGTTCAATTTCATTCAGAACTGATTCATTTGCAAATCAGGCCACTTTCTACATGTTGTTACTAGTCGGCTTTGATGTTCATTTGATTTTAGTTTCGTGAATCAGTCTGAAATAATTCAAGTCTGATTTGAACTGGTCCTTCCTGAAGGACCATGACTGGGCTCCACTGCTGGAAGCGACCAATGCTATCTCTCATGCCTGGGACGTTGTGGTGAGCAATGTCCATGCAACAGTCCTGGAAGAACCTTGAAATTCAGTTAATGACTTATATTTGTAATTTTTTGACAGGAGTCATCATCATTATTGATTCATTTTAAAACTCAGTTAGTCTGATGAATCATTAATTTCAATTGATCAGTCATTGGGTTTGTTTACCATTCAACTAAGGAATCCTTCTTGAGGCACGCGCACTCTGCTACATCTTTTTGCAGCGGCTCTGGGACTGCAGAGATGGCAAGGGCATTGCTACAGCGTGAAGTGAACCAGTCTGGAAAAGTTGGCTTCCATTGTTCAATCCCTACAGTGGCATTGTGGGTTACTTTCCCTTCAATCCAGTATATTTTTCATTAATTGAATCGATTTGTTTTTTTTTAATAATTAAGCTTTGATGTTCAGTGGCTTTGATGTTGAGCTACTAGTAGTAGACTAGCGCTGTTTGACAACCTGCCCGGGTGACCTGTAATACTCAGTCTGTCAGCCAATCTGTGACTCTGCCTCAGGAAAACAACGTTGCATGCCAACAGATGTGCAAGGAGGCATTGCAGTGGTCAAGCATAGTCACTGGAGAAGACCATGACTGCTGTATCTTTGGAGACATCACTCAGCTATTGCCTTATGGCACTTTGAACCAGCAGAGGGGGTACTCTGCCAGGCTAGAGGCATCCAAGCAGGTTCAATGTGCTGGTCTAGGGCATTGCTGGATGCACAACTGTGCATGCCCAACAGGGAAGTTGCCTCTGTTTAGCGTGGGAGGATTGCCATGCCCTGACATGTCAACTTGTGGCAAACGTATGAAGCGAGCCGGTCCAACAGCAGATGTCTACATCTCTCATGGTCGCTGGATCACGGAGAATGATGTTCCTTTGGTTCTCATTGAATGCACTCCCGAGCATTGGTGTAGATTAGTAAACAGTTTTGACATTGGCTTTCAGAGGTTACCAAACATCTGAGAGAACAGTAACTATCAGGAGTTGGCTCATAACCGTTAGTATTTGATTGCAAACAAAAGACACTCAGGATTTGGACATGGGCATGGTGCAAGACTCTTGCCCTAAACATCATTTTTACCAGCTATTCTCTTCACCGGGCGACTTCGGGTTTACTGCAACATCAAGACGAAGAACATGGGTGATCGGGGCTCACCTTGACAAGACTGTCTGCCTGCTGGATCCATTTGCAATGCTGGAGTCTATCCGAGAATACATCAACAACATTGTCAGGCTACAAATTCCAGACTACTTGGTCGCCTCTGACATGGAGATTCGGTGCGAGGCTGAAAACCTGGCTCGGAGACGATGTGTGACCAGCTTCAATGGCTCCCTTTCAAATTTGACTGCCCTGCTCACCTGCAGGGAGATCGGGGTCAAAAATGAACTCGATTTCAGGTTTGAAGTACAGTTCCAGAGGCAGCCTGCTGATGTTGCCAGCCTCATTTATTTCTTAGGCGACTCTGCGAAATTTTGCTCATGGTCAGCCAT